CCTCTTGATAGCAGCGTTGTTCGGTTGAAACCATCTCTGTTCTTAGCGCCGCCTGACGAGTTTTGAAAAGGCTTCAGTTGCCAATTGCATAGAGCGCTCCACCGCTTGCATATGGCACGAGAAGTTCGATTTTTCTGCTGTTTTGGCAGTTGGAACCTTCGCTCAAATTTCGTTGTCAGACACTCTTCGGAACAAAGTTGGTGGAGAAAGGGCATTATTCGTACTTCACAGTTGGCGCACTTGCGATGAGAGGGGGCATTTTAAACACTTGTAAACAACCTTTAACACTGTCGAATGGATCCATAATGGCGGCTGTCACTCGCCAACACATGTATAAATGTGATGTGGACACTATTTGTAACTCTGCAGATGAGAAATTTCAAAACGGCTTACTTAAAGAACATGGCTCTAATAGTACCTATTATTAAAGGGAATATTTCGTTTATTTATATTATACAGGCTTTCCCATAATATCCTATACCTATATTGATATTGAAATAAATTCCATATGGTATATTAATAAGTCAGAATGGTTTTTTAATATCATATCTTTCATGGTCTTGGGAACTTTAAGCATCATATTATAAATAGATTAGGGCCCTATCACAAAACTAAGATCAAATTGATTTTCGTAAAACTTCATTTTTCTAATAAATTATCGTTAAATTTTAACACATAATTTTAATCCTCATGGATTACTCAACGAGTTTTTTTTGCGTGGAACTCGCAGAAGATGGAAGAAGTAAGGCGTGGATTCCTTCGGCAATTTGAAACAATAGTATAGGGGCATAGGCATACTGCAAACCATCGTCTTGAAGGAGGTTGTTTAAAAGACGTAAGTTTTAGAAGTAGGGAAAAGTATAGGTTACAGTAAATCCCAACGAGTAAAGTGTAATTAAGTGTAATAAAATGTTGGTTTTATTAAGTTTTAACAATTTTATGGGTTATTAAAACGGGTAGTCTATTAGTGCATGAATTACTGAAACTGAACCAAAAATGGACGTTTAATGGACAATTAATGCATAGGGATCTGACGCATCCATTTTATTGTACGGATACATGGTTAAGGCGTTGATGGATTTAAAGTTTTACTTTGCCGCTCTCATCTTCGTTTCGTTCATTACCGCTCAGTAAGCCTAATCCGCTATTTGCCAGTTACCTAAGCAGCACGAAAAATTATTAGTGGCACTTATCTTTATTGAATGTACCTATTTTTCTGATGGTATTGTTAGCGTAATTGAATTTACACCGTGGAATTAATATTAATAACTCAACTTATTAATAACTTAATAAACAACAACAATAATAATAATAAACTCAACGTCAAAATGACATTATACAATCAAACCATTTTACGACCTATGACGCTATATAGTACGACCATTGAACTATACAGGGTGGTGACTTGCGTAACGCATCATAGGGATTTCAATGTAAAATTCATAACATGCGATTATTGGCTCCCTAAATTATTTTAGAGCAAAAATGTATTAAGGTTTTTTGTAAAAAAAAATTTTTTACGTCAATCAACCGTATTAGTTTTCAATTTTGTGCATAATAAAGACGGAAAATTGGAAAAATAAAACCCGCATCTTTTTCAATAATCTGCAATGTCATGGAATTTTCTAAAACAAAAAGATATCCAGTTATCAATTAGCAGCAGTTCGAAATGGATTTTATGATCGACCTTGGTTACTGTATTGCAGTTTATGGTGACTTATTCGAACATTTATTGTAAATTGTTATATTAGGAAACCGTTTTTAGTAATTTGATCTTTCTTTATGTTGATTTCGCTGTTCTAAATATAATACGTTTTGATAGAATTTGATTTGTTTTATAGCAGACATTCCATGGCATGACGGATATTGGCGTAGTTTTTGTCATTGAGTTGTTTTTGTGTTATAAAATTCCATGGCATCACAGATTATTGAAAAAGATGGGGGTTTTATTTTTCCAATTTTTCGTCTTTATTATGCAAAAAATTGAAAACTAATACGGTTGAATGGCGTAAACATTTTTTTTCTACAAAAAACCTTAATACATTTTTGCTCTAAAATAATTTGGGGAGCCAATAATTGCATGTTATGAATTTTACATTGAAATTCCTATGATGCGTTACGCAAGTCACCACTCACCACCCTGTATACTCTGTAACTGGAACGGCATCGAGCGCCAAAATCGCGTGCCGCAATGATTTTAGGCAACCAGCATAACGTAGGTATTCTCATCCTTGTCTGGCACGTTGTTTTGTATTGCATATGTAGGACCGATCACACGTATTTGGTTAAAAATTCAGATAAGTAAATAAACTGGGAGGTCGGGGCCTTAGAAAGATAAAGATAAATGCTTGTCGATGCTTTTATAAGTGCCAATATCTATTTGTTAATGGAATATCTTAAAATATATACTTAAGAATGTGGTAAACTGTGCCATTTCTCACTCACACACTCACATACTTGATTTTTGTGGTTACAAAAGTATAATGTCAACTAATGTCATTCATGGTGGCTCGACGCATTCCATTTGCTTATTAACGTAAAATAAAGTTATAAACATTGGTTGTGTTCGTTTGTAACGTACCCGATTACATAATATAGGTATTAGCAAGGAGGTACCTAATATATTACAATTGGCGTCGAAATAAAGGTAAATTTAAAAAAGCACTTTTTTTTAGAATAAAATGAGTTTAAGAATCATGGTTACTCTAAGAGCAAAAATTCAATTTACTTGTAGTGGTCACCGCATTGCCATTAGAAGGAAACGAATTGACACGAATGTCTTATGCTGGTCTTATGGAACGTTTGTTTCTCGTACACGACTGGAATTTGTCCAACAGCCCGATGGATCCTTTGTTTTCGGAACTACCCGGAACTACCTTGACACATCCAACGTAACTACCAAATACACCAGTTGTAAGTGTTGGTTGTGCCATCGGCAGTATCGAAGAATTCAGGACAAATACCCATTGGAACATCCACAGTGAGCGGCTTGAGTAATGCATAAGTGCAAATTTCGTTGTGGAGCAGCGAAAGGTTTCTGGTGCATCTAACTACGGTAATTGGACCAGAGCATTGAATAAGGACCAGAGGGTTTATAAGGCTTTGCGCTACTTATATAAGCCAGTTTTGTCCCAAGATGAAACGTACGCCGAGTTATGTGAGGTACCTACACCTGCTACAAAAGGTCTCCCATATTTTTCGGAACTTGCCCCAGAAAAACTCAAGACCTGCAAATCCTTTGGAATATTTCGTATAGGGAATAAAAAAGTTTGTAAAAGTTTGTAACTTATGTGGATGGATATGTATGAAGAAAATGCAAACCGTGATATTTTCTACTCTACCTTTTGTGGACCTGTTTGATATGTGTATGCTTTTATATTTTATCTTTACACTTTGACGCCTCCTAATGTACGTTCATTGTGGCCGAAGGAATCGGTAATAAATAAAAAAATCAATCCTTAAAGGTATTTTTCGCCCCATTAGTGAGCAGTCTCAATTATAACGTTGAGTGAAAAATTAAATAATAAGGAACTTCTATTCAAATTAGTAAGTCAAAACGGCTTTATAGGTTTTGGCGGCGTTAACGCTTTTCTTCATATGATGTTCTCTAGCGAGTGGAATGCCCTATTGAATTAGTATTAAAGAGTGCGAAAGAAGAATTATCATTCATAAGGACAGTATAAATGAGTGTGAGTGTACATTAGTAAAGAAATCTGAGCGGTGCAAATGCCGTCATGCGCAAAAATATTAAATGCGCCCGTCGAGGTTGAAAAATGTTATCAAAACGTACCCATGAAATTGAATATTTGAATTTTTATTATGAAAATGATTGCACGTATATGCAACACAATTGATGACCATTTTTGCCAATCTCTTAGTAACTTATTTTAGACAAAAATAAGCAAAATGTAAGACGTCGTATAAACCAACCCATAAGCGCACGTGAGAGAAACAAGGTAAGGGATACCTACCCTACCTCTACCCATCTCTCTCTCACAAAAATTCGCCACGGCCCCTGGCAATGGCTGATTTATGGGCGATGCCGTTCCAGTTCCAGAGTATATAGTTCAATGGGAACAACTCATACATTTGAAATAAGGTACTTTTTGTATTCATTAAACAAAAATACTATACAGTGATATCCATGTAGAAGTAGTGATTTGCTATAGGAATTTCCTGTCTACTTTTACATGATAAAAAGCCTCCTGAAATTTCCAATGAATTGGTATAGTGCCAATAACAGTTAAAGGAGCTTAAGAGATTTATTTTCTGTGAAGATAAAGCAACAATAATATGCAAATTATTAATTAATATGACAGCCAGATCTTTGTTTCAAGAAGTTATTTTGGTTGCATAAAATTAGGCGTCTTTCAGGAGACTTTTTATCATGTAAAAGTAGACATAGGAAATCCCTATCTCTACTTCTACATGAATATCACTGTATACTCTTGAATTCATTAGGTACTGAGTACTGATCGAGGAGTGGGGTATGAGTCATTATAATTGATACTATGTACTTTTTTATCTAGTGCAATCCCCTTTTGTTTGCATTTCTAACACAGAGCACCTCCAGAAGTGGGTTCTTCTTATACAATGAATCAAACTTCTAGAGGCTTTGGAGCTTTTCACTTGACTGAAAAATGTACAAATAAATTGTACAGGAGACTAAATTTCACCATATTTCAAATCTCATTGTGGCTCGTGTAATATGTCAATTGAAAGCACCTCATTTCTTATTATCTCACTTGCACTTTATTTCAATTAAACCAAGAACTAAACCCAATGAAACAAATGGATCTGATTTAGGAGTCCACAAAATATGTGGCAAATAGCTGAAACCTGAAGTTACCTCTTATTAGATTTGACCAAGTTTTTCAATCAAGTATAGCAGATACCACCCTATACCTAACTAAAGGAATGAATGCTGAAAATGAAGTAAAATGTGATCCCATTTGATTTAATATGGCATAATTTTTAATTAGGCGTAATATAATCAGAAATAGCAGTAAGAAACAAAATATAATTATCACTGTAAAAACCTAATTCACAATTAAACGCTATTAGTCAAGACATCCTGTGTAATTAAACGTTCATGAGGTGGTAAGAATTAATGAAAGCAACACAGAAATATAGATGATTTTGCCAACACGCACAATTTATATCCCATTATCGTTATTCTTCATCTGCTTCTAAATTTATATTGCTACCGAATTTCCCATATAAGTAAGTCTTTAAATCCCCCATCCACTCCTTAATCTCGGACGATTTAGATTTCAAAACTGCAATTTCTGTTTCGGTTTTATTCTTCGACTCCTCCAGACACGCTTGCGTTTTCTCAATGTCCTGGTAAATAAACACTTCGCCTACCAGGTAAGGAATCCTCTCTGTTTCGTCTAGAAGAATTATTTCGTCGCACGCATCCTCCAACTTTTTTAGATCATTCTGCGAGACACACACGTAAGTTTGCTAACTAACTAAACCGTACCTACCTCCTTCTCTTTGATTTCAAATTTTAGATCTTCAAGTTTGGCGTTTAACCTCGCAAATCGGTTGATTTTTTGTTGGTCTTCGAAAGTTATGTGCACATCGCTATCCTGTCAAATGAAAAAGGTGTTTTAGTTGGGTACGAGGATTATTAACAGCAACTTACTGCTTGTAGTGTTGACATTTTGCCGTTTTATTTGTACTTGAGAAGTTATTTAATTAAATTGATACATATGCACAATGATTCAATGAACAAATAAGGTTAGAATTTTAATTTTAGAAGATGGCTGTGGCTATGCACCCGGATCAGATCAAAATCGATGTCATGTGCAATGCGATTCGAAAAGAGGGAGTTTGCAGCGTACAGATCATGATGATTGATGATAGTCATCATTTTCTACAACATTTACTAAACCTAATTTTAAATGAATCATATAAACACCTGCAGCAAGTTGTATTTGAGCGACAAGTTCTTATGATCGCTCTAAATTAAATGTGCTTCCTAATAGATTATTATACTCTAGAGGGGCGAAATATTAACCTCCTAATAAATTTGTTGAACGAATACTGTCTCTGGATACAGTTATGTTACTATTTATTTTAAGAAGATTTAAGATCTCTGCCCTAAGATGAATAAAATAATCTCTCAATTCACCTACTAATTAATTACATTACCTTGTGTGGGGATTTGTTTTACGTAGATTGAAAGCTTTATATTAAGACCACATCCGCATTCTTATGGGATGGTCCTGACTCCTGATGATGTTCTCTAGAAGAATGTAGTGTACTAAACTCCAGGTTATACGCTAATTTTTGAGTCTCATATCCGTTTGTTGAAATTATAGCGTGTTATGCTGGCAATATTGTTGATTCGTTAATTAATCGCTTCATGAAAAGAAATTATGTATTGCGAATTTCCGGTGTGCCCTTATCATCAATTTAACAAATCCAATGTCTTAAGATAATTAAGAAATCATGAAAACAGAAAATGACAAACACAAGATATACATATTTATATCATTATTATTATTATACAGTTGAAATATTCTGGTTCTAGGACCTATAGGTTAAACGCAAGTTTTAGAACAAAGAACCAGTTTGGCTAGAAGCAGGTAATAAAACATTTGTGTGACTCATCTTTGGTGTAATAAATTCCGTTGACACAGAATAAAAACTTACATTGTTTACAATTACAATGATCAACATTTAAACAAACGAAGTACATGGAAATTAGCGAATTCCGACTCAAATCGCACATTTAAAATTGAAGAATCCCTCCCCTCGGGTAGGTATCTCGTCCCTCGTGCAAAATATGTCAGACTACAGATTCATAATCACAACTTCATTATACATTATACGAAAAAAACCTATATCACAGATTTAAACACTGTGGGGTTAGTGTTTAATTCTGTGCCTATACTAAAAGTAACACAAGGAACAAAAACTATCAACGGCCAGCTTTGCTTTTACGATTTATGTTTTAAATTTCCCAATTGATGTAAAATATAAACTAGCTATGTACAATTGTACACTGTACAGCGTTGGCAACACGTTCGTGATTATTGGCACTTTCTAGTCTCTTTTTCTATTCTTCAGATTGTACATATACATGTCAAGCTTTTCTTGTACTTCAGGCAGCATGATCACCGATACAAAATTTTCAAGGTCTGCCGCTCCGTTCATTTTGACATCCTGAAATAAAGCACAATACAAATAAGTAAGTACTACAAGCATAGCATGAATAAGTAGTGCACATGGGAACATTCCTATGTTTTCATAAAATGAGATTTAAAATCCTGCGGTACGTACTCAACAACCAGTTTAAATAGTTATGATAAAAATATGCAGAGTGGCCGTTTTTTTAAATAAAAACTCATGCGCATTCCATGTTAACAACAAAATTTGTGAAAATTAGTGAATCGCAACTCATATCGCACAAAGATTCTAAACCGAAGAGTTTTTGTTAGCAGAAGTCTACCCCTGGAATAGGTAACCTCTCCTCCGGGGTACCCGAGCCTACAGCTGAGATTGGAGATCAGTCACGGCATTAAACCCGATTCACATTATCGGTCACGTGACGGTCAGATCACGGACTGGTCAATTGTAGCGTATATTACTTATGAACATGTTCTAACCGTAACTTGACCGACAATAGGAATGGGCCTTAACTGCAATAATTGACCGGACCATAATCTAACCGTGACGTGATCGATAACTTGAATCGGGCTTTAGGTGTCGTAACTAAAGTGGTTACAGACATTTACCACCCCGCGATTGTCCCATTCACGACGAAAAAAATGTTAGTTTACAAACCATAAGTCACCACAAACAGCAAACAACGTCAACATAATTAAGTGAATGGCCAAATAAATGAATGAAACTACGGTCTGAAGAACGCAATTTCCATCTTCACCAATAATTTTTCCCATTAAGACGTCATGAGTGGATTTTATATCACGCGATTCATACTGCTGCGAAAGTAGTTATGATTTTGGACAATTGTGTCATACCAACGTTGCCACACTCTCCATATATAAGCTCCACTGTACTTTTGGAAATTGGAGCATCGCTTTGGAGTCCATTGTAGCAATCTAACACCAAGTGAGCTTTACATCTGAAACCTTTCAGAGGCGTTTCCAAACATGGGAGTAGGTATAAATAATATGACAAAAATTAATTCTCGTTATTAAAATGGCACGCCTCGTACAACTGAATTATAATTGCCATTGTAAATATTGCAAAAACATTTCAAATTAACTTCAGTTTTAAGTATTTTTTGTTATGATCAGAAGCTCATCTGGAGAACATCTTAATCAAGGTAATCAAACTTGCGACACTGGTAGGTAAAAATGCACCTACCTCAATTATTGACCTTCTTATGATGCGTTTAGTTATACCTCTTGCTAAAGGCGCTATCATTTCGTATTCTTTTAGAAAATCTTCCGCTTTCCGAATGGCGTCAGTCCTGTCGTTGGCGATTTCGTCGATCAATCCCACCTTCAATGCTTCGTCAGTGTTCAATATTTTGCCCTTAGTCAACATCAGTTCGGCATTTCTAAGACCGATTGTACTAGACATTAGATTGACAATATATCTAGGAAGGGCAATTCCCATTCGTGACCCGGGTATACCAATTTGCGAATTTTTCTTCATTACACGATATTCACAGCACATACCCAGAACGCAACCTCCGGCAGGCGAGTGCCCCTAAAACGAACCTTTAAACACAGCGATATCTAGACTATGATCAAATTCGTACGGTCATTGCGGCGACCGTTGGGAAAGAGCTGCCGTAAAGTTGTATGACCAACTCTTGGAATGTTGAAAAGTATCCCTTTACTCTTTCCGGTTTCGGTTTGAGTAATTCGTTTAGGTCTAGTCCGCTGCAAAACACTTTATCGAAAATCTGTAAAAATCAAATGTTGAACGAAAATGCCATCAGGAATTTTAAAAGCCCACCGATGATAAAATCATTCCTTGACATTTTGATTTTTCTAAATTGCTCAAAGTAAGTGAGAGCTCCGATATTAGCTGCATATTTAGGGTATTTACCGGTGGATGTTTCATTAACACGTAAGCAACGCCATTCTCCCTATTTATTGTAACATCTAAACACTTTAAGTTACTGAAAAACGTCCGAGTTTGATTAACGGAAATGTTTCTAGCAAGAAACAATGTTGCGTACTTATAGGTAGACATTTCACTATTTTATCTAAAATGTGAGTGGCACTGGCACTGAAGTTAAATATCATGTGTGCGTTGATAACGAGGATCCAAACATCGTTACTATGATTAAAGACGCGGCCTTCAAATAAAAAATCGCTATTTTTATATTTTGACGTAACCCAAGTCAATCCTCCCGCGCTAACAAAAATCAAGCAGAACACAAATTCCGAACACCAGTGTATGTAATACAATCTTGCATGCAACAATAACCGTGTTCCTCTAGAACTGAAGAAAATTTCGAATCATTTTGCTTACAGAGGGTAAATATGGGGCGAAGTCTGGACATAAGATATTGAGGTAGGTAACTGTGAGACATTCATCATCACATCTACAATACCTACATAACAAATCGAAGGAATATGAATTTGAATAATTTTAACCTGATGTTAGTCTAATACAAAATTTGATAAGCTTTAAGAGTGGCCCATTCAGATAGATTTAAAAGCAACTCCACATTCTTTCCCACATCAAATACATTGTTAATTAGCCTGACCTTCTCCAATTGAGAATGTATCTAAGGTAAGTTCATAGCTTTCCGTTCATACGTTTCCGTTTGTCCGTTAGCCAATCAGAAGACAGCAAATTTTTAAATCGTACGTCGTCCGTTTACGACGGAAAAGTTGGTTGAAGTTGAACATTTACGTTTCCGTTGGTCCGTTTTTAACAAGAGTGAGGTTATGTTTGGTACGTTAACAGTGTTCGCCTATTCGTTCTTCACGGTGATATTCAGATAGCAACGTGTTCTTACTTTCGTACTATTTTTACATACTGAAAATCACGGAGGGTACAGTACAAAATAAAATTTAGGTTATGGTTATACGTTGCAAATGTACACTGTGGACGGATTGCTATGAACCTTAACAAAATTGTACTATCCGTTTGACGGATCAACGCAACGGATGAACGGAGAGCTATAAACCCACCTTTTTAGACTAAAATTATATAGACCAATAATTGTCAGAGATACCTAGAATTAACTAATATTTGATCAGATATGAGATGGCATTGATTACTTAATAAAGTTTTTGACGTGACTGAAACGATTATTTTTTATAAAGGTCTGTATAAATTAGAATAGAAGAATTTTAAGAGTTTTAGACTTTTGTTCTACAATCGAACCGTGTAATTAACGTACGCCGGATAGTTTTGCGTTAATCATTGAACATTTGGTGACCGTGACAGGACCGGCTTTTTCCCCTGGCTGGAATAATTGTTTTCGACTGTTGTCTGCAGTAAAAAACGTATACAGTTTGTTCAGGTGTACATTGACAATCATGGATCAATACAAAAGGCATCGTAGAGTACTCCGTACCACCTTCACTAAATCGGCGAAAGAATTAGAAGACTTTTTATCGGCGGCGGAAGGAAAGGCACGTTTAATCTCTGTATCGCTGGGTATTTTGAAACAAAAATATGATGATCTAAGAAGAATTGACAGCGAGATATACCAGTCCCTATTGGAAAGTGATGGAAGTGAAGCAGAATTGTTGGCAGAGATGGATGGTATAATTCAAAAATTATGGCAGCATACACGCGCTGTCACAATTTTAAAGGTGCTATTCGCTTGCCCTACATTGAAGTTTACAGTAGGAAATTCACTGACTTGAACGCTTAAGCCGAGGATTTCCTACAGAAGCCGCGGAGCGAGTTAGGTGAAGAGGTAAACTCCGTAGCCTCGGAAAGTGATGTAGGCGGCAGATCAGGTAGGCGCAAATTTAAATTACCTACTCTAGAGCTTAAGAAGTTTGACGGGAGTATTAGAAATTGGTTGCCCTTCTGGTCCCAGTTGCAAAAGGTCCACAACGATCCGGATATCCGGATTTCAGTATACAGGGTGGTGACTTGCCTAACGCATCATAGGGATTTAAATGTAAAATTCATAACATGCGATTATTGGCTCCCCAAATTATTTTAGAGCAAAAATGTATTAAGGTTTTTTATAGGAAAAATTTTTTTACGGCAATCAACCGTATTAGTTTTCAATTTTTTGCATAATAAAAACGGAAAATTGGAAAAATAAAACCCCCATCTTTTTCAATAATCAGTGATGCCGTGGAATTTAATAATACAAAAACTACGCCAATATCCGTCATGCCATGGAATGTCTGCTATAAAACAAATCAAATTCTATAATAGTTATTTATGTATTAAGGGCATAATAGTGATGTTTATATTCTCGAGGGCGACGAGTTAAAAAGCTCGAGGGCCTATGGCCCGAGAGCTTTTTAGTCGCCCGAGAGTATAGACATCAGTTTATGCCCGTGGTACATACAAAATTTTATGTTTTACAAATAGTTTTCTTCGCCAAAATTCGTTTACAAAATAATTCATTATGTTTGATCGAGTATGCGTGGTTCGAATTTGTTAATGTGATTAAAACTATCCAAACGTCAAACGTAATTTTAAATAATTCAATTCATTGTGATAGAGGAGGAGGTTCCAGAAACTATTCGAAATAAGGCCAATCTTGTGATTTAGTAGGTATTGACAATTAATAATTGACGTTTCTAATTTTCAATGGCCTGCAAATACTTGTTTGTTTTATCATTAAGTATAAATGAGTTACTATGGTGATACTTAATGCCCTAGGGCATAAAGTGGTACTTTATGCCCGCGTATCACAGATATAAAATGTGCTATAATAGGTTAGTAAGACATAAAAAAGTATTATATTTAGAACAGCGAATTCAACATAAAGAAAGACCAAATTACTAAAATCGGTTTCCTAATATAACAATTTACAATAAATGTTCGAATAAGTCACCATTATCTGCAAGACAGTAACCAAGTCGATCATAAAATCCATTTCGAACTGCTGCTAATTGATAACTGGATATCTTTTTGTTTTAGAAAATTCCTTGGCATCGCAGATTATTGATAAAGATGCGGGTTTTATTTTTCCAATTTTCCGTCTTTATGTGAAAAAAATTGAAAACTAATACGGTTGATTGACGTAAAAAAATTGTTTCCACAAAAAACTTTAATACATTTTTGCTCTAAAATAATTTGGGGAGCCAATAATCGCATGTTATGAATTTTACATTGAAATCCCTATGATGCGTTACGCAAGTCACCACCCTGTATAGCTTGTAAACTCCTAAATAATATCAGAATAATTTATCGAAATTGTACTTCTGTTAAGAGCTTCAAAAAGCAGTTAAAGTTAAAATTGTTAAACAATCAAGCCAATATCTGAGTAGTCAGAATATATACTCCTTTTTCTCTTTCTTTTTTTGTACTTAAATTTCATTCATTTATAGTAAGTATACTTAATCTTACATATAGTTGCTTCATATTTTTGGTAGGGTTGAAAGACGGTTAGTACCGATACCTCGCCTCTTAGATAAGAATTTCTTTGTAAATATTATCTAATAAAGTATAAATAAATAAAATAAATAAAAAATATACATTTAAATGACAAAGTGGAATATCTGGTGCAAAGTACTTTGATGGGTAGTAGTGCAAGGCAATTAGTTGATAGTTTTCCTGCCACCGGGGACAATTATGCTAAAATCGTGAACTGTTTAATTTCGAGATTCGGGCGGGACGATTTGCAGATAGAAGTGTACGTGCGGAACTTGCTAAAATTAGTGATCAATAACAGTTTTTCGGACAATAAAGTAGATCTTCCTTTGTTGTACGATAATCTAGAAGCTCAGTTACGCGCGTTAGAAACTCTTGGTATAAAGTCCAATAAATATGCTGCAAACTCGGTTAAACCATACAGCTAAATGAAAAGAACATGGCCGAAATGGAGCATTACGGTCGCACTGTCTTTATACAAGCACGGTACTTTATACGAGACAGTTGCGCTAATAGAGTAGGTATATAATTTTTGATTGGTTGTTGAGATCGGCGACCATGTTGCATCAAGTATATGTATAGATACTCGTTATGTTGCATAGTGTACGCAACACATGTCATACGCGTATTGTGCGTTGCCTACTTCTAATTTGAATTTTCAATGCCATATGGCGGCTTGTCTCCTTATTGTCGCCATTGTCTCAATAAAGTGCCCTCTATCCGTGATCACCATAGACATATGAGAATTAGCATACCTATGTCTATGATCATTTGGCAAAATCACTGATCAGCGCAGAGAAATTAATATGATGGCGAGTTTCCTGTCACCGTTGCCGTGACATACTCTCCTCATTTTTTACTCGTTGATTTCTGCCTTCGCGCTCTAACGAGTTAGATGGTAGCTTTTCGATCCGATTATGATATTCCATTGCATTTATAAACGAATAGGAAAACAGGACTGTGGGGTATGCCTGCAAATCTTGAAGAAAGTTTTGCTCCTGCAATGGGTCTCGAATTATAATGCAATAAGTTACAATTTGCCGCTCTTTTTTTAAAATTCACTAATGGTGCTCAAAGTTAAGTCGATGACGAACTCAAACTTATAATTAGGATTAGCTATGATGTCGAATTCTCCTCAATTTTGAACAAAAGTGGTAAGTATTGACTTGCAAAAAAAATTGAAAAAAATTAAATATAAATTGAAAATTGAATATAAATTTCAATTGTGTTTATTTAATACTTTTTAGACAAAGAAGTTTACAAACAGTGAAAATCCTTCTACCTACAATTATTTCAGATACTTATTTGGATACGTTACAAAATATAGATATGACTTCAAGACTGGGTTAGGAACAGTTACTAGTTAGCAGGTAAACTCGCCCCCGAGATGTGACCATAACGAGAGAAGGGGGAGGGGGAGAAGATCCCATGTTTGAGATTTTTGATTAGGTACATCCCCGAAGCAGTGGATTCATACCACCTACTTCATTTTTCTCCACGCCCCTTGGAGGAAACCAGAAACCGATTTCTGGAACCACTTACCTTAGCAGATCAAGTTTAGTTAATTGATTTAGGTGATTAGCAAAAGTTCTATGAAAACTGTAGTGGAAACTTTTGTTTCAATGCGGTGACTCAACGAAACTTCCAGGTTTAATCAAGACTGGAAGCAAATGTTTTGACAAAAAGTAGATTGATCTTCAATATCGTATATCTTGAAAACCTTGGAAATTGGACAATTATTTATAGAAACCCCCCCCCCCTCCTTCTAACGAAACCGGAAGTCAAAAACTATGTTGCAGTTTTTTTCTCCGCCTGCTCATCTTCTACAATCCTGCTCAGTTACCAAAATGGGTCGACAATTTTTAGTTATGTTATAATCCTATGTAAAAGTACCCCTGGTCGATTTTTAAAAATTGTCAACATTAATTGGAATTCTTCTTTTTATTTTTCATATTTGCCATATAGGCAGCGATTAATTCTTGTACTTTAGGTCGCGAGATTAACGAGACGAAATCCTCAACGTATATTTTTCCGTTAATTGAAACGTCCTGTAATCAAAATAATGCATTATTACTAACATATTTATAACGGGCGATCAAAAATGAGTTGCTGTCAAATCGCCTTCAGAAGTTCAATTCCCATGTAAACAAAAATTTCAAAGGTGACTCGACAGCAACTCATTTTTGATCGCAGAGTACCACTTCAGTCAAGATAATACACAGTGTACCAAAATGAACATACATACCACAGAGTAGTATATTATCTTAAATATCGATAGCTGCGGTGTGCGGTGCGGTTATCGGAGGAACAAGTGCATTGTATAGTTACTATTCGACATTCGTTGCCGCTAGATGACAGTTTGGCTAATTACCATTACCACAGATTGAGTGTTTTATCTGTGCCACTATAGTGACTGTTAAAGGACAGTCAGGACATAATGCTCCATGTCCGCCATGTTTTTACCAAGTTGATCATTGAGCTGATTGATTTGGTTGTAATATGAGTACGTACTAACCCTTGGATTGGTCCGTGATCGACAAGGAGCAGCTGTCAGCGAGGTGGCCATGCTTAATCGAGTATGGGAGGAATTGGCTACAATTGATAACGAAAACTCACCTGTAGAAGTGCTCTCCTCATACTCTGTTTCGTAAAATGCCTGGCTATTGGAGGTATCACTTTGAACTGATTCAGAAAATCATTTGCTTTATCAAATGCGCTAGCTCTATCCTTTGCAATTTCATCAATCAATCCCACTCGCAATGCTTCATTTGTGGTAAAAAGTCTACCTGATGTTAATGCCAGTTCCGCGTTTCTATGACCGATTGTGTTTACCATCAACTGTACAATTGATAAAGGGGTACTATATCCCAACTTAACAACGTTCAATCCAATTTGAAAATTTTGAACCATTATGCGATATTCACAGCACAAACTCAGCACACAACCGCCTGATGGCGCGTGACCCTAAAAGAATGCTAGGTATCAAATTCTGTGTATCACTCTTCGAAAATTCGCACAGTAATTACAGCCACCGTTGGAAACGGACTACCGTACAGTTTTATGATGACCTCCAAAATTGTAGAAACTAACGTCCGTATCGTCGCTGGTCTCGACTCATACATTTCGTTAAAATCCAGTCCGCTAGAAAACACTTTATCGGAAAACTGTAACGATAAAACGTACACAAAAGTCTGCTAGCGAATTTCTGAATATGCGTACCGATGTTAAAACCATTCCTGAACACTTGGTTTCGTCTAAATTGGTCAAAACGCTTGAAATCTCAGACAGAAGTTCAGAGTTTAGGGTATTTACTGGTGCGCGTTTCATTGTAACGATAGCGACGTTATTTTCGTTGTTGAGCACTTCTAAGTACCTAAAGTTACCACTAAACAAACGAGCTTGATAGGATACCTTTTTTGAGAGGAACAATCGTCGTAACATGGTTTTGCACACATACCTATACATTACGGTCGAAACTAACGTGCAATTTTGCAGTTATTGCAAATAAAACAACCGTGATAAGATAATGATGTGACCTTTGCTTCAAAAAATCTAGACATAAAGGTTCTAGTGTCCGTCTCACCTTGACTTTACAGTACAGCGAACATATAAGGGCAATGCAATCCTAGTGAGATAATGGCAAAAAAAAATTTTTTTATTTCTACATTATTGCAATTTAATATATTATTTAATAATAAAGAGACACTAACAAAGCACTAACGATTGTCACTTTTCCGCTCGTTAGTGTTTTCAACGAGGGTAGTAAGTCAGCACTGCACAAAAGGGGGTCGTTTTCTCAGAAACGTACTGGTGCAAGTTATAAAGCACTAAGAGGCACTAACGAAGCAGTAACGATTGGCACTTGCCCTCTCGTTAGTGCTTTCAACGAGGGTAGGCAGTCATCACTGCACAAGAGGGGGTCGTTTTCTAAAAAAACGGCCGGTCGTGCTGATGCGAGTTATGAAGCACTGAGAGGCACTAACGAAACACTAACGATTAGAACTTGTCCGGTGGTTAGTGCTTTCAACGAAGATAGAAAGTCAGCGCTGCACAAGAGGGGGTCGTTTTCTCAGAATCGGTCTGTCGTGCACTAAGAGGCACTAAAGAAGCACTAACGAGGTGATCACGTACCGAATTGCTTTCGGATTACGCCTTTATGCCTTCAAAGAAACCTACGTTCTAAATGACAAGTCTCTATTTACCGCAGTTTCGACTGTAAAACGTGAAACCCTTTTTTCCTCGTTCCTGTTCCAGTGGGAATTTCGGGAAGTGTTTTACTTTCTTAAAAACCTTCGCGGGCAGATGTCCAACCACTCTCTAAAGTTTCATTGCAATCGCGGGTGAACGGTTTAGGAAGGCATACAAGACATACACACATTAATTTTAATTTATATAAACTACAAACTATATAGTAATAGCAGGTCCTGCAGGCCTGTGTGTCATCTTACATCAACGATAGTCATTAGTCTGGCGAAAAGGAAAAAGAAAATAAAGCCAAAAATAAATGAATAAATAAATGTACGAGTACTCATTACGGAACCTTCGCGAAGATCAGCAACCAATTTTTGCCGATACACAACTTTCCTAGATAGATCCTTTTGATCAACCGCATTACAGTCTGAAACTCCACTCTCTACTTGATCTCTAAGGAACGAGGCCTCATCAGAACAAGTAAGTGGCCTTGAATTGATGACGGCTTCACAATCACACAATACTGTCATTAAACTTTCATAGTCCAGTGAAACTCGTCCCAACACTTTGCGTAATAACTGCTTTAAAACCCCCACAAGTCTTTCCCAAAAACCTCCCCACCACGCTGCCGTAAGTGAGTTGAATCCCCATTGAATACGTTCGATACCACTGCTCTCGGCGATTTCTTCAAAGTTTACACGCGAAAAGGCATTTTCAGTGCTTACAAAATTAGTCCCATTGTCACTATAACTCTCGCCAGGAAAGATTGCCGGTCACAGCACACCTTGTGTCGAACTACAATCTATGTTTTTCTCAAGATGCGATCGACTTCCGGAATAGGATCGTGCCAATGTTGATCGAGAAGTCTTTTTGTTCAACATTGACACGATACTATCCCGGAAGTCGCTCACATCTTTAGAAAAACATAGATTGTAGACCGGGATCAAGTGTTCTATGACAGGCAATCTTTCCTGGCGAGAGGTTTATATATTTTTATTTTTTTATTATACCATGCTATACAGTGAATTTTTTTAAAATGCGAACATAGGAGTTTGCACGCAATGTAATTTCCCTATGTTCGATTTTAAAAAAAACACATCAATCTATTGAATAGTTCAAATGAGTAGTAGATACAATTGACAGCTGTCACATTTTTAAAAATACCGCCGTCCAATTTAATTACGAAATCGGTTAGGTTATTGCTTAGAATGTCAAGAGGACACTTCGAACATTTATTGTAATTGTTTTCGGTATTTATTTTCTTATTTTCTTCATTTATGTATTGAATAGATCAAATTAGTAGAATACCAGGTGCACATGACCTACAAATAATTGAAGGTTGGTTCACAATGAGTTGTGGTGTCAGTGCGTGGCCCGTGAGGTCAAGTTATCGTAAGTTTAATAGCGTTTTCGATTGGCAAAACTCGTGCTGCACGAGTGCAATTTTTACGTTCTATTGGTAATTTTAGGGCAATTTTCTGTTCCATTGGCAAATGTGACGCAACAATTACGCACTCGGTGCAAATTTCGACGTACGAGGTCCGAGAGCTCGTGGAGCTGCTAGTTAACAAATTTTCAAAACAAACGTGCGACAATTTGAATTTGTTTCTTGCGTTGGGAGAGTTTTATGTCGGCATCTAGCGATAGCGAAGATGATTAACTAGCCATAACTTCTGTACCGTACAAGGGGGCTTCGATAACAAAGAATTTGATTGTAAGTGGACTGTAATTATGGCCTTGTTTATGCTGGGAATGAAAGAATATAGACACATAAATAAACGTGTTTATTATAAAAAATACAAAGTAAATGAATTTCTATTGAATATGGTTGACGTAGGCACGACGGCTACTAGAATATGGTAAAGTTACGAAGGGCCGATAATGTAAACAAAGGAACTTACGTGTTGTTTCGAAGTCCATTAACAACGAAGGCGATGGTGCAATGGCGAAGATTGCTCTATTCTACGAAGTTGTCGAATTTGTTACAACGAAATCTTCTTATTGATGTGCGGTGCTTTGACGTTCTGCTTGTTAATAACGATGTTGCAAACTGCACGGCGACATCTTGACTCGTTGGGGATCGATCGAGATCTATATGCGAACGACGAAGGCTAATCGGCCATTGATTAACGGCGACTTCTCAACGTAGTTGAGTCGATGCCTTCTAAGCGAAGAATCGGACGAATTCTGCGCGACGAGTACACATATTGCGCTTCTGCGGCTCATGCGCGCACACGTAACAAATAGTAATATATACAGGTAAGGCAAAATGTACAGGGTATTTTCATTAAAGGAAAAACGAAAGGATATTTTATTCTAGTTTGGGGACGCAACAACTTCTATTTTACAAAAAGTTGCACTTACTCATTAAACTGAAAGCTAAAAATTGGTCCTTTACAGGAATTTCAAATTTATATTCCTCATCGTTTATCATAAATAATACTGAAATCGTTTGTCATTTTTTAGAATAGAGATTTGTCGATTACCTAAATCTAAAATGAGGTTATGGACAAATTACAACAAATATTTACGAATATTTATGTTTCATAGAGAGCAATTTTCACATGGATTTCTTCAGTTTCTCGTGCAACACTCGCGCAGTACGAGTTTTGCCAATCGAAAACGCTATAACAAACACCCATGTAAAACAAACCAACATTACATATTTTCAGAACGATGCCATAAACGCCATCTAATTTTTCATTCAACTGTATTCTTTATTCATTGGACTGAACTTATCTACATGCCTAACTTCATAACATTTAGAACACAGCGTTGTCACATTTACATAAAATCATACAAAAGCTCTCTGTTGCCAATAAACATCTCCTACACAAGGTATTATTATTGTTACTAAAAACAATGTTACAATTGCTTTCATGTAACACTGATTTTGCTCAAAACAGTTGTACAAAATTCCCATTCTACCACTTTCTAATGGAGCAATTTTTAATGTACCTATGGCAAAAATAAATATTCAAATTGAAGTATGCAATTATAAGACATGTGCTAAGTAAAGCTAGTTGCACATCGAACGTAAGCGTAATCAGAACCATAATCATAAAGTTCAAATGCCTGAAATATATGTCCTTTGCTACATGGAGTTACGCTTATGATTACGGTTATTGGGTGACCTTCATCACACATAAATTGAGTTCAAATTTTTCAACTTTGTGTTTCTGATTATGTAAAAAAGCTTATAGCGCATGCTCGCATTCGTCAGCTGATTGTTTATAACCTAAATCTATTTATGTTTTCAATTTCAAGGTGCCACTTTTACTCAAAATAAACCGCTATTTAGTCTAAATAATTTGCTTATTGCTTGTTTAGTGTATAATAAAAAAGAGTATGTCTGCGTCTGCCCTTGAGATAATAGATGTGGAATTTAAGGGTCGCACCCACCATCGTCTTTTCTTAACTCCATTACCCAGAGTTGTTTTATTTCGATTACGAGTGTACAATAGCAATGTTAAGCAAAACGCATAATCATTTTTAGCCATTTCTTGTTTGCCGCGTATTTCAGGAAAATTTCAAAATTAAGGTTATAGATTACCTTCGATGTGAACACACACAAATTTTACGAATTGTGGGTACGTTTATGATTTCGTTTACGTTTGATGTGCAACCGCCATAAGAACTCTTTTTAAGTACAAGTTTTTTTTCCTATTGCATAATGTAGGTAAGTATACCTTCTAAAATGGGATCTTGTCCACATTCCATACAATGTCCAAGGGTAACCTCCATACAACAATGTTAAGGAGGTACCTATCCATAGCGCACTTTAAGTTTTGATTTTATTTTATTGTATTGTAACAACAAATTTTTGTCAATTTAAATGAATTATTTTTATTTCTTTCTTTTTGTTTTTTGTACTTTGAAAAAAATAAACTTTCTTTCTTTTCTTTCAGCTTACGGACCCTAAGCCACGGCCTGATGAGCCAAGTGAAAAGCAAAAGCTGCTGAAAACACCTTAACCCTTTTTCTTACGTAGCGTAGTCAATTAATTTGTTCTCTTCAATGAGCGAAGTTCAGGAGCACCTGTGATTTTAAGATAACGCCTCATGTATCCCAAAAGGTATTGCTATTAGTCCAATCTATTATCTATGATCACAATTAGCACATTAAAAAACTTTAGACCACTTTATGTTTTAAAAGGTGCCGTTTAAGATAGATTTTACTTTTTGACTCAAAATCACAATGAGCACATTTAAAATCCTTCGCCACTGTATGTCTTAAAAGGTGTTTTTCAAGATAGTATTTACGATTGGTCCCATAATCACAAGTAGCACATCTAAATACCTTGGAAACTTTATGTGTTAAAAGATGTCGTTTAAAGTACTGTGTAACATTTGTTTCATAATCACAATCACCACATTTAAAATCCTTAGAAGTTTTATGCTTTAAAAGATGTTGTTTGAAGCTGGGTTTAAGATTTGTCTCATAATCACAATTGGCACATTTAAAATCTTTAACAACCTTATGTGTTAAAAGGTGTTGGTCAAAGTTATATTTATGGTTTGTCTCATAATCACAATCAACACATTTTAAATCCTTCGATACTTTATGTTTCAAAAGATGTCGTTTGAGGTTGCGTTTGTTATTTGTTCCATAATCACAATCGGCACATTTAAAATCCTTAGAAATTGAATGTTTTAAAAGGTGTTGGTTAAAGTTATATTTATGGTTTGTCTCATAATCACAATCAGGACATTTAAAATCCTTCGAAACTTTATGTTTCAAAAGATGTTGTTTGAAGTTTTCATCATTTGTCCCATAATCACAAGTAGCATACTTAAAGTCCTTAGAAACCGTATGTTTTAATAGATGTCGTTTGAAGAGGTTTTTATTATTTGTCCCATAATCACAAGTAGCACATTTAAAATCCTTAGAAACTTTATGTGTTAAAAGGTGTTGTTTGAAGATGAATTTATCATTTGTCCCGTAATCACAAAGAGCACATTTAAAGTCCTTAGAAAGTTTATGTGTTAAAAGATGTTGTTTGAAGTATCGTTTATCATTGGTCCCATAATTACAAGTAGCACATTTAAAATCCTTAGAAACTTTATGCGTTAAAAGATGTCGTTTGAAGTTGCGTTTATTATGCGTCCCATACTCACAATCAACACATTTAAAATCTTTACAAATTTTATGTTTCAAAAGGTGTTGGTTAAAGGAATATTTCTTGTTGGTCTCATAATCACAAGCAGCACATTTAAAATCCTTACAAACTTTATGTTTTAAAATATGTTGTTTGAAGTCGCGTTTAATATTTGTCTCATAACTACAATCGGCACATTTAAAGTCTTTAGAAACTTTATGTGTTAAAAGATGTTGTTTGAGGTTGCGTTTATTATTTGTCCCATAATCACAATCACCACATTTAAAATCCTGAGAAATTTTATGTTTTAAAAGGTGTTGGTTAAAGTAATATTTATTGTTTGTCTCATAATCACAATCAGCACATTTAAAATCCTTAGAAACTTTATGTCGTAAGAGATGTTGTTTGAAGTTGCGTTGATCATTTGTCGCATAATTACAAGTAGCACATTTCAAATCCTTAGAAACTTTATGTTTTAAAATATGTCGTTTGAAGTTGCTTTTATAATTTGTCTTATAATCACAATCAGCACATTTCAAATCTTTAGATACTGTTCCATAATTAGCAGCAAAATTAAAATCGTTAGAAACTTTATGTTTTAAAAGATGTCGTTTGATGTTGTTCTTATAATTTGTCTCATAATCGCAATCAGCACATTTAAAATCCTTAGAAACTTTATGTTTTAAAAGATGTTGTTTGAGCTTGCTTTTATAATTTGTCTCATAATCACAATCAGCACATTTAAAATCTTTGAATTCTGTTTTACACCTAGTTAAAAGGCGGCATTGAAAGTCAGAGCGTTGCTGGACTTCTTCATTAGAAAGAGATTTTGAATGCAGTGTACTAATGGTAGTTTCGCTCTTTACTGTCACCAAAACTTCGTTGCTTACTGAAATGTGTCCCTGAAGAGAGGAATGGATTTCTTCTTCTTGTTTTGGTTCGATTTTAATTAGTAGTGTGTCCTTATCTCCATCCATATCTAAAAACAATAGCTGTATTTGTTTCAAGTGGTTTAACTAAGTTAAATCAGTTGAAGTGATTGCACTTTGTTTTTTTCGTTTACATCAGTTCCCCCACTACTTACCAAGTGAACAGAAATCACTATATGGTGATTGCGGAAAAAGTTGGTACAGAACTTAAGATCATATAAACATGATCTAAGCAGTTAAATCACTTCAATTAACATAACCTCAGAAAACTGGAATCATAACCTCCCAGGCTGTTTGTTTATTTTTTATGGGACATTTAGAACTGTTTATGTAGTGTACCTCATAACTTCTATTTTACAAAAAGTTGCACTTACTCATTAAACTGAACGCCAAAAATTGGTCCTTTACAGGAATTTCAAATTTATATTCCACATCGTTTATCATAAATAATACTGAAATCGTTTGTCATTTTTTAGAATAGAGATTTGTCGATTACCTAAATCTAAAATGAGCTTATGGACAAATGACAACAAATATTTACGAATATTTATGTTCCATTGAGAGCAATTTTCACATGGATTTCTTCAGTTTCTCGTGCAACACTCGTGCAGTACGAGAGCCCTTAGAGAAGGAAAGAATGAAAGGTTTTGCCAATCGAAAACGCTATTCTCAGAGTAAGAAATAAAGATAGAGATACCTTGATGCTTATCTATGCGTGCCATCATCTCGTTTGTTTACTAACATTGCAGGAGGCTAAGTTGTCACATTTCACGAGGTAGTTTTTAAGGGAATAATAATAACATATGCATCTGGAGTAATCTAAATGGATTTTTAAATGCTTATACGAGTTCAGTAACCCAAACAATTAGTACAATTAAACGGCGTAACAAGAAAAGTTATGGTGATTAGTGCACCACATCGGCAACGCTGTAGCTTTGTTTTCCGTTGAGAGGTATTTTGTTTATTTCGTTAAAACGTGATTCCTTAATTTTTAGGCGTTTTTATAGTGCAAGACTTATTCGATTTATGGTGTATTAATTTATGGGAGCGCTTTGAAATGGGGAAAAGCTGTATTATTTGTGGAATTATTGAATTACCTAACTCTAACATAACCTTTCATCGGTATTTGTTTTGATGTCATAGACGTGCATACGGGAATTTTCGCATTTTAATGTGTTTAGATTTCCTTCTAAGTTCCCACTTTGAAGTATCACCATACCTTATCATAGATCAATAGGGACCTTTCAAACACATACACCTTTTGATCATAAATATTTAGTGATACGTTATTACGTTTGCACATGTAAACAAAACATAAACTTTGTTGCCCATAAAGATAAATAAACCCTACGCCACTGACGAGATGTTGGTTCAAAACAAACATTCACGTTGTTATAGCGTACGCGTACTCTATCTTTATATTCTTTATCGCTTTCAGTAAAATTGGCGCATGCCTACATTTGTCTGCCAAAAGTTAAGGAAATGCCTTCAGTAAAAATAGTAAATTTATAACCACCATACTAAAGTAATCTCAGTAAAAATAGTAATCAAAGTCAATTTATGACTGCACCCTAACTATACAGTACAATACTGTACGAGTTTCAACCGTCAAATGTCTAGCTATGTGTACAAAACGACGCGACGAGGGGTTCTCCTCGCTAAAACGGTATCTTATCAAGTTCGTTTGTGTAGTGGTAACTTTAGGCACCTGGAAGTGCTAAAGGATGAAAATAACGTTGCTATCGTTACGATGAAACGCGCACCAGTGAATAGCCTGAATACTGAACTTCTGACTGAGATTTCAAGCGTTTTAACCGATTTAGAAGAAACCAAGTGTTCAGGAATGATTTTAACATCGGTAGGTATATTGAGAAATCGTCTATCTACGTTTTATCGTTACAGTTTTCCGACAAAGTGTTTTGCAGCGGACTAGATATTTACGAAATATTTAAATCGAAACCGTCGGCGATCGGGACGTCATTCTCTACACTTTTGGAGGTCTTCATAAAACTATACGGAAGCACGTTTCCGACGGTGGCTGCAATCACTGTGCGAATTTTCTAACATTGTTATATCGAAATTGATAGCGTTGATGGTTTAGGGTCACGCGCCCGGTAGTGGTTGTTTCCTCAGTATGTCCTGTGAATACCGCATAATGGTGCAAAACTTTAGAATTGGTTTAAACGAAACGCTGTTAGGGTTTCGTGCCCCTTTACCATTTGTAAAATTGATGCTAAACACAATCGATCATAGAAACGCAGAGCTGGCCTTAACATCGGGTAGACTTTTTAGCACAAATGAAGCATTACAAGTGGGATTGATTGATGAAATGGCAAAGGATAGAGCTGACGCATTTGATAAAGCAAATTACTTCCTGAATCAGTTGAAAATGAGACCTCCAATAGCCAGGCATTTTACTAAACAGAGTATGAGAGGAGCCCTTCTGCAGGTGAGTTGTTGCCGTTACCATTAATAGTAACCCATCCTAAACCTGTACCCAGAATTTGCCGTATCGATGTTTGCCCGATATTTTAGAGTGTACCAGAAAGAATATACGTATTTGAACACATATATTTCAAGTTTATGCAACCAGTGTTCAATTATGTCCTCCAGCAGCGACACGAAAGATCCTAGGAACGAGCTCACATTGATTCAAATTCCTCCCATACTCGACAAAGCATGATCGGCGTCACTGATGATATATATCAGTACGGATCTGGTACTTTATTAACTATTCGAAGTTCTGTGCTAGTGGAGACCCGTACAGAAAATCAAATCCGGTGAGCATGGAGGCCAGATAAAGTGCTAAATCCATAAACATATACATTGCATATAACATGCACATTCCACCTGGGATTTTGTATATCCATAGAATGTGGAAAAGTATGTCGCAAATGTCCGATGTATGCGCATGGAATATAAGTTTGGCAGATTTCACATAATATATAGTATATACGTTTTGGATGTCTTATGTATATGCATCAGACATGCTGTGTATATTGGTATACTGACAACTGGATATACCATGAATATTCCTGTAATATGCAAATATGTTCAATAGGATATTCTATGTATATTGTATACATTTAGAATGGATGTTCTATAGAGATTCCTCTAACATTCGGGAAGTATACTAGCATCTATACCTACATAAATAAATTTTTTTCGCCGAGTGAAGCTTTTTGTTTATTAAGTCTCCTAGTATACAATGGAAAATGCGCTTAAGAAATTATTATTGTTTTATTTAACACTGTAGTCTTGAGTCATCTTGATCGTGTTCTTGTTCAACACTATAATAGCGCGAGTTCATAACAAATAGGTTGCTAACATACCTGCCATTCTTGTCCTTATATTAATTCCCATCCAGTCTTTACATCTCACTAACACATATTTGCAACGTTAGGTCATGCTCACACGAAATAAAAATCATTACTTTCACTGTCCAAATTAGACAAACAAACTCATTAATAACTCCCGGAATAACACTCCTGATTTTTAAAAAAATGAACTGTATTTGCAATAGCACCTTACTATCTTCATCACCGTAATTCACAGAAAATGAGATGCTAATCATATATTAATACGTTTGTAACGTCGGTAATACAGAAAACGCATGTATCAAATCCAAAACATATGTACATAACATATAATCAGATGTATACAGGGTGGTGCCTAGCGCAACGCAGCGTAGGGATTTCAATGGTAATTTCTTTCTAGTCAATTACTAGCTCCCCTAATTATTTTAGAGCAAAAGTCTAAATACGTTTCTTTTAGAGAAAAAAATACTGCATCTGTTCATACTCTTAGTTATAATTTTTCATTTTTCAAAACCATAGAAATCGACAAAATAAAAAATTACATTTTTATAAATCAGTGATGCTTTGGAACCTTTTAACAAACTACAAGCGCATCGCATCTAAATTTATTATGGTTGTTTGACGTCGAACGATTTTCACACTTAATTCTGTTTCAACTAACCGACGCAATAAAAGGCATCTTAGGGTAATGTTTTTTTAGAGAATGTATGCATCAGATACTATTTGTTTATCATTTTCCCGAATCAGAGTACCTACATAATCGAACAAAAAGAAATTGATTTGAAGAAGAATTGTTCTTAAACTTATATTCGGATTTTCCGCTACTGCAGCCATAAGAAGAATATGTATTGTAGTTTTCCTGATGGTTTTGACGGACATTTTGAACGTTATTGCACTTGCAGTTCTTTAACTAATTTATAAACAAGTATAAATTTAATACCATGCGATCAAAAATAAGTTGCTGTCGAGTGACCTTTGGAATTTTTGTTTACATGGGAAATCGTACTTAACTTGAACTTCCAAAGGCGACTCGACGGCAACTCATTTTCGCCCGTTATACGTCAAAGGCAAATATGAAATAATGAAACGTGATCGCTGTTTTTTTAGGTAATTTCAAGGCATATTTGATTTTGTGTAAAATGAACCTTTTTATTTTGTCGATTTCTACGGTTTTGAAAAACGGAAAATTATAAGTAATAGTATGAACAGATGCAGTATTTTTTTCTCTAAAAAAAAACGTATTTAGATTTTTGCTCTAAAATAATTAGGGCAGCTAGTAATTGACTATAAAGAAATTACCATTGAAATCCCTATGCTGCGTCGCGCTAGACACCACCCGGTATACATAGAAGGCCCTCGTGAGGAGGTATAAGATTTATACATAAAAGATACATACAATGTGTATGACTAAACATCCATAGCACATCCAAAATGTATATTTATAGAATATCCATACTGGACATAAAATACATTATGTCTATAATGAATATACATAGTATATACATAAGATGGACAGGATATTCCCTGTACATTATGGATTTAAAATGTATATACATAAGATATCGAATGCTATGTGGGACTGTATATATATTTAATGTTGGATCTTTATATTTGAGCGCCAGCTAGCCATATTTGAAATATTGACGATAAACCAATTATGGTAATAATATTGTAACCGAAGCAAAATCCACTAAGGTATCTAAACCAACAAGCTTAATCATGAACTTGGTAAAAACATGGCGGGCAGGGAACATTCGTTCCTCCCACAACCACACCACACCGCAGCTATCCATAGTTTAGACGTGTAGATAAAGTATGTGGTACGTATGTTCTTTTTTACACCGTGTATAATCGTGACTGAAGTGGTATAAATGTGTTAATAATGCAAAGTTTTGATTACAGGATATTTCAATTAACCGAGAAATGTACGTTGAAGATCACGTCTCGTTACTGTTGCAACCTAATATAAGACAATTAATCACAGTATATATGGCAAACATAAAAAATAAAAAGAATTCCAAGTAATTTTACCAATTGTAAAGCACACAAGTTGCCAATGACAGATTACAGAGATACGAGGACTACGCCCGTGCCGTGACGATCCCCGCGCCGTCCGACTGCCCGTCGAGGTCCGCTCCCCAAAATCGCGCAGCCCTTACACAATTTTTAATTATCGGTCAGGAGTAACTTTACATGGGATTGTAACGCGTACGTAACTAAACAAGTTCAAATTGTGCACAACCCTTGTGCAGGTAAAGCGCATTTTTTAAAGACCCCTACGAAATTTCTTCCATAAATAAGAAAGTTGGCACTGCACATCGTACACAAAACCAAATTTAGAAAATGGTGCTACTTTTGCTTTTATTCCAAGTGGCTATGCATCAAATTTCATTTGAATGCCTCCCTAAATAAGAAAGTTGGCACTGCGCCTGCACAAAACGAAATTTTGAAACTGGCGTTAAATTTGGTTTTATTCCAAGTGGCTATGTATCAAATTTCATTTGAATGCCTCCCTAAATAAGAAAGTTGGCACTGCGCCTGCACAAAACGAAATTTTGAAACTGGCGTTAAATTTGGTTTTATTCCAAGTGGCTATGTATCAAACTTTATTTAAATGCTCAATGGTTATATTTCTTCCAAACGTCCCAATCGCCCTTTGTAGGTACTTTCCTTTGACAATTCACTCTTAAGATATAAGGAATTATAACGGATCACGACAAGGGATCGAGGATGAATGGTTAGTATAAATTAAATCCTTTCGTTGAGACCTTTCATTAGAGTACCATGAAGGATGAAACTAGTTCCACTCCCCCCCTTCCCCCTCCACCCTGCACTTTGATAAAAGGACAGAAAGAAGGGCAGTAGTTTGTAGAAAACTGTTACTTTCGTTGAGACCTTTAATTAGAATACAAGGAGAGATTAAATTAATTTTTAAACCCCTCGCCCCCACAGACCCCGTCGCTCACTGATCTCGAAAAAGAGTCGCAGGGGAGTTATAGTTTGTATAAACCAATTTATTTCGATGAGACCTTTCGTTAGAATACCATGAAGGGTAGAACATTTGTTAACCCCCCCCCTTTTTTTTAAAGTTTAAGTTGGCACCACTAAAGGCATGCGTATGCAAAATCTGAGAGCAATTGGTTGTCGTATGTAAAAGTTATGCACGTTTTACTTTCAAAACAGCATCTCAGGAAATAATTCGTGGGGGGGGGGGGCCTTTTAGACAGCGAAATTTGATGGCCGCCTGGCACACCTTCAAGGTATAGGCTACCCACTGCAAAAAATTCCTCTAGGACCATTCCCCTAGAAGTAGTTCAAAACGGTAGAAGTGGATCCGGACGGACGGACAAATCGCAAACAATAGCACATTTATTTTAATTCTTAAAAAATGCGCTAAACATTTAACAGAACCGCGGTGACGAAAAATTAGGTAAGTAGGTACTGTGTTTCTGCTATGCCTTCGCATGTCTAAACAAGTTGGAAAATACTTGATGCATCGAGCTACTTGCGTTTTTGTCCGACGGATTGAGGTTTTATTACCGCTGAAATATAATATGTATGCAAAGAATTGTGACACAAAGCTAATGCTTCAAACCCGAGCATTCTACAATGAGTCCTACGAGCGTTATACTTTAAAAACCTTTGCAGCCGACCGACCGACCGGGCAAAGTGAATATACAGGGTGATTTAAAATTGAGTGCAAAGATTTTAAGGGTATATTTATCAGCCAAAAATAAGAAATGTTTTTCATATAATAAATAATAATCCTAACTTGTATCGTTTTCTCGATACAGGGTGTAAAAGTTGTATTAAAAAGTCGGTTTTTACTTATTTTATTCCTACCACAGCAAGGCCTTTATAACGACACATAAGCGTACCAAATTTTATTTAAATCGGCTGAAAGGCTTTTGAATAATGGATAAAAACAGATTTTTTTCGTGTGAGTTCTGTGCGCCATTTTTGGAGATCGAGTAAAATTTCATTGTTAATTAAAAGTTATAATCAAAAGTCGTATAACATTTTCGAACAAAATTTATAATAAGAGGCGTTTTTATGCAACCAGGAATCTTCGTCGTGTAGTGAAAATTAATGGTTATGGATTTTCAACCGTGTGTGGTACCAATAAGTGTAGCCTCTTAAAGTGTAAGCGAACAAATTCGTTTCGGAGTATTATCGGAATATCATTTAAATTAATTATTACCACAGAAACGTGGAGGTGCAAGGTGCAAAAAGTTTCATTGTGCCATTTTTGAAGTGCTCAGTTACGTTAAAAAAACAAGTTTATCAGTCAAAACTGCACCTCTCTTGCGTATATGAGCTCTTATTAGATTTACATTAAACAGCAATCAGTAAAAAGGCGAAGACAATTAATTCGTGCGTTTGTCGACCGTCAAAACCGTAAAATTTAAGGGTAATTTTGGACATTTCCATACTGCGGAATATTGGTAACTATCGCAGTAAAATGCGAGAAACCTGAAGCACGGTTTGCTTTGGATTCAAGTTCGTCAATCATCTTTCGAGATTCACTTTGGTGATTGCGCTGGTGTTCTTAATTTTGTTTCCTTTAATGGGCCACCTTAACGATGATTTATTTACAATACATACATACACACAAATTTACAATTTTGAGCGTCATTTACTCGGCGGAATTGCGGGCGGACGGTTTATCTTCTGCACCGTTGTTAGATGAATATACAGGTGGGGAACTGAAACGTCAGCTGAATAGGCATCTGTACCCAGCAGGTAATTCGACGATCGCTCATTAAACGTAATATAGGCATTGACATGAGTGGCACAACATTCACGTACGTTCACTCTTGAGGCGTGCGGTAGACGACGTTTGGACAACGTTCACCAGACGAAGCGTTTCATGAGCGCTACCTAAAGGCGGAAATACTCGAGCAAGATTTCTCGCGCGAGTTGAATATTCTCGCGCTTACTAGATACTTTGGATGGGAGCGCTCGTAAACAACTGTTTTAAGGGCACCGTGACAAGGGAGATGAGTAGAGGTAGGTATACCCTCATCGTGTTTCACTCACGTGGCGTTTATGCGTTTTACAAAACAACGTGCCAAACAAGGATGAGGATCCCTACCACAGCTTACGTTAAGCGGCACGCGATTTTGGTGATCGAAGCCCATCCAGTTAAGCCCGCTTGACATGGAGCAATAAAAATTGCAATTGCATGCAAGTTGCAAGAAAAATTGCGAAAGGCATGCGCAGTTCAAAGCCAGCTGATCAATTGCTGCAAGAGACTTGCATGCAATTTTTATAGGACCGGTGCTATTTTTCTTGCATGAATCGTGCAATTCTAGGGATAAATCTAGTTGTTTTTGTATCACCAACCTAGTAAGATACAGCGGCGGCAACTATGATGCTGAGAGACGCACTCATTTATTTGTTTTTATTAATCTTATTTATTCTTGTAATTTTCATGTTTCTTCAAGCAATCAAAATTTAATTTTTATTGGAGGTTAGCAACTTTGTTGACAAGTCCATATTTTTCTTCTGTTGGCAGACATGTGGCAATTGAAATAAAATTGCACCATGTCAAATACCATGCAATGCTTATTGCATGCAAGGATTTGACCTTGCAATTTCTTTCTGCAAGTTCTTGCACGTTGTATTGCTCCATGTCAAGCGGCCTTTATATGTAGTGTACAGTTCAATGGGTGAACGTAAGCAGTGACTATACAAAACAGTAGCGCCAATAGAAGCCTCACTTTTGATTGGTACGCGGCAGCCATTTTGTGGCAAACTTTCAAATTATGTACTCGTTACGTCAAGTCATGGCATGTACAGTGATAGTCCGATCGGTAGTAGCGACGGCGGTGTCTACAAAGGGCAGGTACGACGCGCGAAACGTCCCACCGAGCGTGCTCCTCCGTGCGTTCTTTCGGCTACTAAGCAGGACAGGCCTCGTTTGTTATCTGAATTAACCAAAAAAAATCGCTCCACCAACTAGGGACGGCCATGCACCACCACTCACCGAATCAAAAAAGAGCTCTCAATCTGTCAATTCTTTTAGTGACCGGGCCTGGAGAAGTGTTGAGTATGTGACCGCAATTTAGCCTGCTTTAAGCATTTTAATTTGTTCCCCATTATGTAAAATAAAATACCAGTAAGTTGGATGAAATTCAATATTTATTTTCTGTTTTCGCAATCGATTTCGAAAACAGAAAATAAATATTAAATTTCATCCAACTTACTGGTATTTTATTTTACATAATGAATTTCAAAATAAAAGAGTTCATCGACAAAATTGTTCCCCATTGTAGCGAAAATTCTGAACAGCAGCAATTTAGTGTCGCCACAATGTTGTGTTGAATATCTTCAGAAATTTAAATATATTCCAGTGGTAATTTTTTTAAATTTATTACCTTTGTAATGATCCTTGGGGTCTATCAAGCCGCCACTGAAAACGTTGACTTACCCAATACTACAGTTGGCAACTTTGGGAAAAACTACAAGCAGAGCTACCTACCTTTCAAGTCGAAACGATGGACGTTTCGTGGCACTTTTGAATTTGGATGGCAGTCGGCTCGACATGGGTGGCACGAATGAACTCCTACGTTGTGTAATCGGTTCTTTTATGTGTTGGGACGTGAGACATAATCGGAAACGGAATTAAATAAAAGACATAACTTTTGTGCGTAAGAAATAACAAGAACAAATAAATCTATTACGCACACAACAAGGCCATGCCAGGGAAACCTTCTACGGGACAAAAACCCCGGCATAGGCCACACAAATACATGAAATAAATCACCTACAGCGGCTACAGCAATAAAATGCAAGAAAAAATACACATAAATAAAACCTCTCAAATTGTATGACAAAAATCAGATAATCAAATCAAATGCAATTAAACAAGTTCATAAAAACAAAATACACAAGACATCATAAATGCAGTGGAAAACATGATAAATCAATTCAGTACAAAAACACATCAAAATACCTGTACGATCAATGGAGATAACACTACTCGTAAAATAAATAAATTGCATGTACATGGTGTGGCTCTA